CACGCTTATATTTCGGGTTTTACGTTTCAGCGTTTGAGGTTTATAGAATTCAACTTTTTTTTCAATTAGCTATAACCATGCGAAATTTGAATACAGGTTACCCTGTAGCATTCAGTACAAGTTTTAGTTAAGTAATGTAAAACGATTGGGATTATTATTAGAGTGAAGAGCATACCTGTGACAGCAATTCTTACATGACATTGGATGCCAAATGTTCCATACTTGTCGCTGTACGTGTATTTGTAGTACAGCGTGTAAATACCAATAGAAAACAAGCCAATAAGTTTCGGATTGGCGGGATTTGGTGTTGCCTGGCATCTAGGCTTAGGTTCTGTCCAACTGACTAAGATCTTCTTGTTCTGACCCTCTTCAACTTCAGAATTTACTGTTTGTGTGCATGGGCAATCACAAGCTAAATTGCAAAATAAACAATTGGGAATTTTTCAAGTTTATAAAAAAAGACTAAAGAAAGTACAATTAGGATATCGAAAACTTCGGAAATGGTTACGAAATATTAAAGAAATGAAATCATTACTGTAACTGCTATCTTAATTACCAGCGACTTGCGGGCTCGAGTTTAATAAGGTTATTCATCAACCAAAGTTAATAGCGAGGAAAGCAAGCGTGATCCGGAAGTTATGTGTTCCTGTCGAGGTGTTCTAAGTCAACCCACGTGTTATATTGCGTTCTCACTCCCTTTGCGGTCATTAGTTACTCGGCACGCAAAGTGTAACAAGCCTAACAAAAATTTTAAATGGTTTACATTAAAAGAACCTAAACTTCGTCCTTGTGGATTTACACACGGCTGATGCGTCTTTGGGAGAGTCTTCTACCCCAGCTTCCACGGGGACCAACACCAACTGGAACGTTACCTTTCAGAGTTTCAGACGCCAGAATTTTTCTTAGGGCTACAGAGCGCAATGGCTAGCCTTGCGTCCACGTCGTCCCATCGCTCTACGACGCATTTAGAACAGTTGGGGGATGCATTCCCATCTACTTCCATCGCACCAAGATAACTTGTCTCTGGCTCAACAAGGTACGTTATACACTCCTTCGTTTGTTACGGCTTTAAGCGGTAGTACTTTCACACAACACCCTCCCTCTATGCATGCTGATGACACCGAAATTTTTGCACCCTTTAATGACTGCTGCGATCTGGGGCCGGTTGTTCAAAAGCAGGTTAAATTTAACCCTGGGTTAGTGCTAAACCTAAGTTAAAATCCTTAACCCTAGGTTAGCTAAACCTGGGTTAAAACGGTGTTTTTCAAAGCAGAGATAGCGGTAGGGTTAGTTAACCCAGGGTTAAAATATTTAACCTAAGATTAAATGTATTTTAAGGACTAAATTGGATATAAGAACGTTTTCGATTGGTCAATAAACGAGCGTCAAAACTTTACCCGACGAGGATAAAATTATTGTCAGTCGAAAAATTATATGCTGTGAGAGCAGGGTCGCGATATCTAAACAATGTCGATGTTAAATAAAATTAAGCAAATTTTAAACAATCTATAATCTATCTCAAAATTTCAAGCATTCTTTGAATATTCAAAATTCAGGAACAAACGTAGCCTTACCACTTGCTGCTAATCAAAAGAATCGAATTTTGGCATCTGAAACAAATATTTCGATTACGATGTTTCAATTCGTACGGTTGTATTCATTTATCGTGTGTTGCATTGAAGCGAAGATAAATAAATCAATACATCAGCTGAAACCGAACGAAGTCAAACTTAAATAATTCTTTGCTGTCGAAATTATTCGTAAAACCTTTCAAAAGTGTTTAATTCATGACGAATTTTCCGTATTTATGTGTTTCAGCTCCTTATTCATCCATTTTGAATGGAAGTTAACCCAGGATTAAAAAGTTAACCCACCTAGCTAGCACGGGTAATTTTTTTATCAATTTTAACCTAGGGTTAACGTTAGCCGAGCTTTGTGCAACGCAAATCAACCAAGGTTTAAAATTTAACCCTGGGTTAGGCATTTTTAACCCTTGGTTAGGCATTTTTAACCCTGGGTTAGCGTTAACCGGCTTTTGAACAACCGGCCCCTGGTTACGAAGGTAAATAGTGATCTTGAAAATAAACGTAAATGGATGATACAAAACAAACTTCAGATCCATCCCAATGAAACGTATGCAGTAATCCTCTTTTAATTAATAATAAACAAATACCTAGGACAATAAATATTCATGCCTCGGCGTGAGCGTGGATGAAAGGATGTCCTGGGATAAACATATCAAATCTATTTGTTCCATTGTTAGTGCCGGCATTGGTGCAATCAGACGAATTAATTAGAGGAGATTTTTTATTATGTCGCGTATTTTGGCGAGAAAACGCTCAAAACCTAAAATCTTTTCGGCGTACCAGTCAAAATCCATTTATTTTACCATTATTCTTTAGATTATCGGTTGTGAACTAAGTTTTGAACTGTATTTGGTGAATGCAAAACACCAAACAAAGGAGTTATTACAAAATATAATGCGGCGGCTATGAACAATGTTATAATGTCAACGCCATTATAACTGAAATGAATACAAAAGAAGCTTCGATTCAAGTGTCATTTTCTTTTCGGCGTATCCAGAGAAATCTTTTCATTTTCACAATATTTTGAGATTATACAGTAAACATACTTTGTGGATGCTTTTCAGGTTTGCAAAACATTTTTAATGCTAAAAATTTTAGTGTTACATGAACATATAACTGAGGTTTTGACTTTTGAGCATATATTACGCGACATAGAAAAATATCTCCTCTTAAACCTTTTGTATCACTGTCGACTAGCAAAACGTTATACAGGGTGTATCAAAAAAAAGGTAATCCAACTTTGGTGCGCTATTGTACGTGAACTACTTGTTCTATTAACGAATTTTTTTCACATACCGAAAGGTTATGCTTTTAACTATCGAATGACATGTTTTTGATACCAAATGGTGAAAAAATGAGCAAATAGGAGGCTGATAAAAAGTGTTAGTCGAAATCGCATATTTTCACCTCTGAGAGTTGGGACTAAAACCATTAAAAATTAACTCTCTTTAGGACTTAATTGAAGAATTTTGCTTTTGAATAAACTACCCGCATATGCATATTAAGTAGGAATAAGGAGAACATTCCAAGCAATGCGGCATAAAACCAGTGCAAGCTGTGACATGTTCATGATTAATTGTTTTTTTCTTTTGTTATGCACTGCTTTAATTAGGCTCAAAGGTGAAAATATGCGATTGCGACTAACATTTTTTATCAGCCTCGTATGTGCTCACTTTTTCACCATTTGGTATTAAAAACATGTCATCCGATAGTTAAAAGCCTGATCTTTCTGAATGTGAAAACAATTCGCTCATAGACTGAGTAGTTCACGTACAATAGCTTGTTGAAGTTGGATTACCTTTTTTTTGATACACCCTGTATAATGCTATAATACTGCCATGGATATTTCGATTATTGCAGTCCTCTTTGGGATAATTGCGCTAGTGGTCTTAAAAATAAGTTGCAAAAATACCAAAATCATGCGGGAAGGGTTTATTGGGGCAACTTACGATACTCGGTCTTTTGAATTACTCGAGAACCTAAATTGGAAATCTCTTGATGAAAGAAGAAACAATCTTAAGTCCATTCATTTTCATTACAATTCTAGCCACACCGCTCCTAATCTAAGTGAATAACTTCGATGTAATAATGAAAAAATTATTACATATAATCTCAGAAATAGGAATACCGATTTAGCACTACCAATGCCGAGAAAAGAATTCGGCAAGAGGTGCTTTAGATATAATGGCGCTTTGCATTGGATTAATAAGCAATTTTGAGACAAATGAGTTGAAACGGGTATTGCAAATCTATCGTCCGTTTCCACGGATAATACGGTTTGTGGTTCGTACCAACGACAGCGCATTATTTTAGCAAATCTATCTTGCGTTTTCGTGAATAGTACGGTTTGCGGTTCGTATCCAACGACAGCGAATTATCTGAGCAAATCCATCTTGCGTTTCCGCGGAAAGAAAGGTTTTTCGGTCGTATCCAACGTCAGCGCGTTATCCTGGTCAATCTATGAGGGTCATCCTATGGGCCAGCGTCCATTGCCCGCACTTCGCTAGCTCGGTACTTTGATGCGTGATGCTTGCGGCATCTCTTGGTTGGCTGTTCAAGATACCATTGGCATGGATCTTTCCTTAATCCAAGTACCATTGCTAGTTCCCAGGCCACCTCCAGCCTTGCCTAGTTCCCGGGCCACCTTGGACTACAGCTTGCACCTAACCTTCCAAATTCGTAACTAAGCAGCGGGAACCAGGGTTAATGTTTTTCCTTACATTATGTAATTTTACATCAAGTTTTGGGGATTAATAGAGCGAATAAACTGTACAAAAATTGCGTGGTCGATAGCGGATTAATCTCCACAAGGCTTGACAGTGATTAAAAATATTTTTTGATCAAGAGCGGCTGTATTGCGAATTTGCAGACCAAGAGCAACAATTACTTACCGATAACAGTTAAGTTAACAAAACATTTGAACTCTATAGTCTTGTTATTGCGTTTGTAGGAGTAGGGATAGGTAATCACGTGCTTGCCAAGGGAGAAATTTGCAGGAGACCTGACGTCAGGTGGATGAACTTGGCCCCTCTCATAGTCAGAGCACGTGACTTCTGGTACCGACCAATGAACCAGCCCTTTGATTTCATTAGGTTTAGCATATGCGGTAAACTCATAGTTAACGCTATCTCTGCATTCACATCCGCCTTTGAATTAAAAAGAAGAATTGGTGATTACTCTAAATTTGCACAGCATTAGGAGCAAAATTTTTTGGGAAACGGAAGGGAATTGTTTATTTTTTAGATTGCTTGAATTAACGAGTCTTATAAGCTTTAAAATTATACCTTTTGACACACATACACTTACCATGCAAAGTGCAGGAAGCATCAACTGTTTCATTCACAACTTTGTCCAACTCGTCCAACTTTAATTCGAATATTCGTTCCGGTGACGACCAGCCATTAATATATAGTTTCAACTTTTTGACCTGATTTCCGACAGCCAGGCGGACAATAGTGAAATTTTTCTTTCTAAGTATTGTGGTGTATTCATCGACGAGCCTCGTTCGATTTTCTGAAGATTCATGTGCGCTGCTGGTTAACAACAAAATAACGTCTTCTACGTCCGGATGGAAATTTTTAGGACTTGTCTCGTTAAACGGCTATGAAAAAATTGAATATTAAACTTGTATAATCGTTTGATTGTTGAAAAATATGTAGTAATTCAGTAAATAAATTGTATATTTGTGCCAATGGGCACCTGGAATTGGACGTTTCACACAGTTAGGCTGTTAAATCTATACTCTCAGCCAGATACTCTGAAATGAAACGTCATAGGACATCAATCAGTGACGTCAATGCAAATGTGAGTTTTCCTTAGTGAGCGTCACATTAAGATTTTATCTAAGTATTGTAAATAGTCATAAATTGTAATTTTTACCCCATGAATGTAATTAAAGCGCTTCTGGATATTTATAGAAGATGCGCTATATAAGATTTAAATTATTATTATATTATTATTATTATTATTATTATTATTATTATTATTATTATATATATCTGGAGTAAGAACTTTTGGTGCAAAAAGTGAAGCAAAAGATGGCGGAAATTGAAGCGAGATAGTACGTCAGTTTCAGTCTCCTAACTCGCGCGGCCTAATATTTTTCATTGTTTTTGACCGGGAGTGACGTTCCCGAGACCCTCAGATTTTCGCGTTTTTCATCATTTTGAGAGCACAAAAATGGAAAAAAATGATTGATTTTACGGAGAGTCTGTAACTTTGTGATAAAGATGTTGTCTATCAACGCTTTGCCATTGACTCATTCAACAAGTATGATCGTACTATAGTGGACCAGGAACTGCGTGACCGAGTTTCTGAACTGCATTGTATTTACAACAATAGAGAGGACAATGTATTTCTAATCGTTTGCGTATTCTTATATATAGGCTGAATATTAATTATATATAGGCTGAATATTAATGATATGCATATATTATTTGCTGCACATATAGTCAAGAATTGCTTGTAACTTGCTTCAAAAGTCAAAAGTAAAAATTCGAACTCCGTCAATCGATGCGGAATATTTCTTAGAATAATTGTGCCAAGTTTCATTCCGATCAAACAAGTAATGATAGAGCCTTAGGGTTTTTTTAAAGAGCGTCGCCCCCTAACAACAACAACAACAAGATTAGCAGCGGTTAGGGACCAGTTCCTGGTCCAGTTCCTGGTCCAATAAGTTATAGCTAATCTAGGTCTGAGTAGATTATTTTCTTGGTTAAAACTTTAAAATGGAGAGGGGTGCTGCATTCATTTATTTTTATATCGTATTAACACAGATCCCTTCCTCCTTTGTGGTTTTCAATTGCAAGGAAATTCCCTTGCATTTTGGAAACCCTGGCTATCATGTGAAATGGTAACTGATTTTCTTTGAGGTCCTGGCTTATGATTTGCTAATTTTCATTCTCAGATCACCTGCAGAATGATACGTAAATTACAAATGAAAATAACCAAATTATTTCCCGTTTATATTATCATAGACTGGGTTGGTTTATCTAGGTTGTTTACGCTTTACAGTCTTCACGTGCCGACCTCACCTGGTAATTGTGGAGTCCTTTGTAATATCACGGTTTAACAACTTTTCTCAATAACACGATGGAATATGAGCAAAGATTGAAGACACACTTGTATAAATGTTACATTAATGGTAAAACATTTTAGGCCTACTTACATTTTTTGCCATATTTTTGAACGCCGTATTGACGCTCGGATTATTTTCAAAGTCAATTCTATCCAGCCACTGCATCAACAATGTTTTGTTCTTAATTTCGCCAACCTCCAATAATTCTCTAGTTCTGTTGTCGCTTGAGAAGGAAGCGAAACCAAGATGAGTGCCTTGTTCTTCCACGCGCAGCTTTTCACTTTTGATAAATTTCTTCAGAAATTCTTTCAGAACATCGATGTACGCAGAGTTAACATAATTCGAAATATCCCAGAAGACAAGGATATCTTTTTTACAGTCTAGAACAAAATAGAATAAAACTGTTCAGTGCCAGTCTAAAGTATAATGCCAAATATGATTGTTGTTCATTAATTCCACGAATGTCAGTTCCAAGAATGTCAAGAATAATCCAAGAATGTCCCACTGACAAATATTACAACTCACAGCAACGATAAACACCATCCAAATTTATACTTGGACCTAGCTGCCATCTCACATCGACCGCTTTGTTCTCACATTTTCAAAAGAGACAAAATTGACAGAAAACTAATTAAACCATTTTAATAACGCATTAAACAAACACGTCCCAATGAGACCATAATATTTATTACTATTTTCGTTTACTATATTTTTAAATGAATAAGCTATAGTTTATGCCCAAAGAAATGCAAAACATACGAAATTTGGGAAATTTCTAAAGGATGGAGTCCCGCAATGCAAAACCGAATAAACTATAGTTAAAGTCCTTCGAGGCCAAAATTTGTCTGCATGGCTTTTGACATTATGTTGGTTTTCGCCTCTGTAAAAATTATCACATACTGATATTTTTTGTATTGTATTGTGGAATATTTTTTGTATTGTATATGTTTATGTAACACGAAGACGAAAGAAGAATTTACACAAAATACTTTTTCAATTATACTACCGTCTCCCAGGCTCACGCCTATAGCTATACAGGGTGTATAAAAAAAAATGTCCCAAATGTAAAAATTCCGTTTTTCAGGATATTTTGCAGAATTTGGCAAATTTTTGTGTTCCTAGAGATAGTTAAGACTTATCTGGTATACCTAGGCCAAGTTTAGTTTTTCAGTAACAAAATTATGTTACCGGGGGGGTGGTTCCTTTCCACTGATATTGAGAGGGCTTGTGCGCGAAAATGTGAAGCTGAAATTGAGATATTATTTAGCTGTCTAAAAGTAGGAAAGCTTTTTAATAAGCTGTCAAAGTTTCAGGAAAAATAATGCAAACTGGGAGCAACGCGCGACCCCTAAAAGTGACAAATATTTCATTGCGCGCAGTGGATTAAATGCATGGGTGATTTTAGCGTGACCGATCTCATGCAAGGTTGTGCAAATGAATAAATTAAAGCGAGAAACTGAACAAGAAGACGAAGCGATTTAATAACAAGATTTTTATACATGATTTTAATCCTCAACATTTCCACCATTTCTTTCTAAGCGAACTGCGACTCGTCTGAGCATGGTAAACACTGAACGGCGAACCACATTTGTCTGTCCTGGCCTCAAATTATCCATTTCGTTCGAAATTTTTTCTTGCAAATCGCCTATACGCGACCACCGGCAAATCTAGGCGAATGGACAGACAAATGGTTCGCTGTTCAGTGTTTAGTATGCTCAGACAAGCCGCAGTTTGCTTAGAATGAAATGGTGGACATGCTGAGGATTAACATCACGAATAAATCGCTTTGTTTTTGTGTTTAGTTTCTTGCTTTAATTTATTCATTTGCCCACCTTGTATGAGATCGGTCACGCTAAAATCAACGATGCATTTAATCCACTGCGCGCAATGAAATATTTGTCACCTTTAGGCGTCGCGCGTTGCTCCCAGTATGCATTATTTTTCCTGAAACTTTGACAGTTTATTAAAAAGCTTTCCTACTTTTAGACAGCTAAATAATATCTCAATTTCAGCTTCACATTTTCGCGCGCAAGCCCTCTCAATATCAGTGGAAAGGAACCACCCCCCCGGTAACATAATTTTGTTACTGAAAAACGAAACTTGGCCTAGGTATACCAGATAAGTCTTAACTATCTATAGGAACACAAAAATTTGCCAAATTCTGCAAAATATCCTGAAAAACGGAATTTTTACATTTGGGACATTTTTTTTGATACACCCTGTATAACCCAGGAAGCTGGCTGAAAGCGTATAGCGTCTATGTAAACGTCTATAAAATGATATATCGCATACGACTAGTAATTAGAAGTTTTCTTCTGAAAGAAAACAACTTGAAAAGTACGCAATACGAAATAAACTACGAACTTGTGAAGCATTGATTGTTTTGTCTGCAATTCAAACGTCTTGATAGTATAATGTAACATTAATAAAGATATTTTCGAAAGTGATAATGATCTTTGCAGTTTACCTCTTTTATTGCCATTTCTCTCAGCTATTTCTTCTTTTTCTAAACATTGAATACAAAACTTGTTAATCGCGTGGATAGCCCAATGTGTATCGAATCATATTATGATCTAGGCTAATCTTACAAATAATTTTGTCATATAGGTAGAAATAGCGTCACAAAATTCATAAATATGGTTTTGATGTTTCGTTGAGAAATGTTGTAAGCTAAATAGAATTAGGCGTGCGTTAAAAGTACGCCGCAGGCAACATTGCATGGTACTGTTTTTGAGAAACTGAAAGGTATTAATTTTGGACCAATAATAAAAAAGTATGTAAATTTTCTGAATTCCTATGTCTATACCTTTAACAATTTAATAGCGAAACGCAAAGGGTTTTACTAACTTTGTGATGCTCTAAAAGGTTCGTGAAATTTTAGTTCATCAAGTATAATTTCTGAGCAAAAAAAATTATGGAAAAACAAAATGAATTAATACAATGGTCAATTTCCCTCATCTCATTGAATTTGGATACGGTACCCCTGCTACCACCATTTTTCTGGCCAATGATAACAATGAAGATATCCAGACGACTTATCTCTCGCTGTGTCCTGGTCTTTTGCTTTCACTATTCGAGTATTCGTCATCACTAGAAGTGCTATAAACTTAGGATTACACTTACCACTGGAATTACAAGAACGAACATAGACTAAGATGGTACATGAAACTGTCTTTCCTCCATACAGTGTAAAGTTATATTTGATGTTATTTAAACCGGCAGGAAACCGCTGCGGTGATTTTACGTTTGGTTCCACTTTGTAAAGATTAATCTGGAATTTATGCGTGCACGTTATCATTGGCTTCGCCCATGACACTGGGTCTGACATTTTGTTTCTCGTAATCCGGTCTATTCTTCGTTCTTGAAAATGACAAACGCAATTGCCTCCTAGTAAAAGAACATGGAAGGTTTTAGTCAAAGCCTGTCCACCATGTACACAACATATAATTATTTTGAACCAGGTATACCATGCATGCAGTGCTACTTTTATCAAAAAAGAGAATACCTCTACTGCTAACATATTTTTGCGAAGCTCAAATTGAAGATTGATTTTATGTCGAGTAATTGTTGAACATACAATCTTACATTGAAAAGACTGCCACGATGTAGGCAGGAGCTCGTGGCGCCATACACAATGGTTTTTTTTAATGGAAGATGATTTTCAGAACATATGTCGGGGTATATAACCGCAGAAAACAGTGCCGCCTGTACGTAGATCGGTAATTTGGGGGTATTCATGCAATTCACGTGCTCACCTTCCGCTTATTTTGGAAACAACTAGATGGTAAACAACATGAATAATTCAATATCTGTCCCCCCCACCCACAATTAAAAATTTGCCGGCGAAACTGACCTGGAGCCGGTATTTTCAAAAGCCGGTTAGCTTAACCTTGAATTAACTCAAATTTTTGGTTATGCAGTTGAATATATTCCCATAAATATTTTGTGGATAAATATAGAAGTCTCATTTTGCAAAGTCTTGAAACGAACAGCAATGCAGAATCAAAAAACCTTGTCTTGCTTGTTTGCCTATGTATATATATATATATATATATATATATATATATATATATAATATATATAATATATATATAATTATATATATATATATATATAAAATCAATGAAATATTACAAAATTTTGAATATATTGTTCGCTACACTCTGTGTTTCACGTTTCAGAAGAAACGTGAAACACAGAGTGTAGCAAACAATATATTCAAAAGTTTGTAATATTTCATTGATTTTATTTTAATCGCTCTATTAAATTTTGATATCGAGCACTCTTTCTTCTTGGATACTTTACTTAATTGTATATATATATATATATATATATATATATATATAATATATTATAATATATAATATAAATCTATTCCAAATAGACTTTTGTAGAACACAGAGTGCTCAATACATAGAATGCAGAGCGTGTTATAACAATTATAAATACAATTCTTTCAATTAGTTGCTCCTTTAAGTTTCATGCACATAAGCAATCATCAGGTAACGTACTAATATATTTTAGAACGTTGCCTGATGATTGCTTAAGTGCATGAAACTTAAAGTAGCAACTAATTGAAAGAATTGTATTAATTTATTGTATATATATATATATATATATATATATATATATATATATAACAGCCAAAGAAATTTCCAAGCGAAATTCGAAATATTTCGCCTGCTTCATTGAATTGTGGACAATCAAGCAGTAGCTACAATTCGAAAGAAACAGGTTAGGGCTAACCCTGAATTATATTTTCCTGGGCTGTTTTCGTTTTTTAGCTCGCCTGTACTTTAGTGCAAGAGAGCTATTGCTATAGTCTTGGCGTCCGCGTCCCCGTCCCCGTCCCCGTCCCCGTCCCCGTCACCGTCCCCGTCCGCGTCCACACTACATGATAAGTAGAATGTTAAGATGCCACTTATATTTTCCCATTATTTTCAACTTATCTACTTAAGGAGTCTATTTGTTGCAAAAGAACCATTTACCAGGGGGGAGTGAACATTATACAACAAAATATAATGATAAGGTCAATGTTAAAATGCTATATTTTTTCTATACTTTGGCTTTACATCAGAGGAATCATTATCAATATAAGTCATCAATATGCATTGTGACTATTTAGTGCCATTTGGTACACATTTATATATAATATAAAGAGAGTTTTGCTCAAAATTATCAAATGATAAGGTGAATGTTAAGCTAATTAGCATAATGATAAGGTCAATGTTAAGATGTTATATTTTTTAAATATTATGGCTTTGCATCCGAAGATTCATCATAAATATAGCTCATCGATATGTCTTGTGACTATATGGTGACATTTAGTACACATTTACACAAAAATAATGGGAATTTTGTTCAAAATTATCAAATGATAAGGTGAATGTTAAGCTAATTACCATAATGATAAGGTCAATGTTAAGATGCTATATTTTTTAAATATTATGGCTTTACATCAGAGGAATCATCATAAATATAAGTCATCGATATGCATTGTGACTATTCAGTGCCATTTGGTACACATTTATACAATAATAAAGAGAGCTTTGCTCAAAATTATCAAATGATAAGGCAAATGTTAAGCTTATTAGCATCATGATAAGGTCAATGTTAGAGTTATCCAGAGTTATCACGCTCATTACGATTTTCAGGGCTATTGTGTAGCCCTGTTTTTTTAGTTCAAAGTTGTAGCTGAATCATATTTAACGAAAGTATTTGTACAACCCTAAGCCAAATGAGAAACTTTCAAATATTTTCACCTGTATGCTACCATTTGTTTGTATTGTACATGTACAATTATAAATTATGAGATTGTGTTGTGACATGCCGTATCAAAATTCAATCGCTTAATATAGAAATCATTCAGGGAGTGAATATATATAAAACATAGTCAAACGTTAAAGTTTAAAGAATATTGTCAGATAATTCGCAATTACAAGCTTTAGCACATAAGTATTTATAAGTAGAAAGCCGATAGGCTCGGAATGCAAAGGCAAATGGCAACGCATGTGACATATATTTGCATATTATTTATGTAGATACACCTGCAAATATATTATTAAAGCCAGTTAAATTGTAGACAGGGCCCTTTGAACTACCTATAAGATTTATATATGTACATACATTTTCGTTGTTTGATGCATAATCCTTTTTTGTGTAGATATAAAAATCCAATCTTGTTTATTTCATAAAGCTAGGCGCACACACGACGATTTTAGTCGGCCGATCCCTGTCTAGATTGTCTAGATGGAAACTAGATGGATGTTTTCATCAAAATGCGGCGACTGGAGTAGACTCGCGTACACGCGCGAGGCGCGAGCGCCGCGAGAAGGAAAACATGTCTGGGCAAGGGCTGCCTATATGTCAAACCTGAATGGACCAACTACCGTAAAATCGTTGTGTGTGCGCCCGGCTTAAAGCAGGGGCTTTTGCCTGGTCCGTTAACTTACCTGTTGATATCACGTGCGCGGATTACGAGAAACGGAAGAAATATTGGTCACAAATAGAACTAATGTAATTCCGAGGCCAGTTTTGGCCAGTAATTCTGAGGTCACAATTAATATCTGAAGTTTGTGCTTAATATTACCTTCCAACGCGGATTTTAGCGTTGTAATTTGTAATAAAAAGATCGGTAATTTGTGCTTCAAACAGATACTTTCATACAGAGTTTAGCCTTATTCTAGACAAACAGTGCAGGCGAGCGTTAGGTGATTTCAGCACCTCTCTGGTTGATTCTGCATTGGTGTTCGTTTCAAGACTTCGCAAAATGAGACTTCTATATTTATCCACAAGTATACGTGAAAACGTTATATAGTATACTGAACTTTGCTGGGATCAAAATATTAACAATGATATGGTTCTTACCAACAATAGGACACAACTTTATGTAGTTATCGTATCTCTCTTCAAGATACTCCGCCGTCCTCTTACAACAATGTGACATATTGATAATATATTCATTTAAACACCCTTTCTCCCATTGCTCTCTGTCTTCAACGAATTCAGACCATCCATTTGTACAAAATTTTGACTCTTCGTCTCCAAAAACGAGGTTTGCAGCAAAGAAAAACATTATAACTGTCTGCAAAACTTCTTTACAGCTGCCGAATATGATTGGCTTTCGTTCGTTTCGTTTATTCCCCATCCTTCGAAGATTTAAAAATCTTTCAACTTTTGAAAGCAAGTCCTGCAGTGAAAGGAGCTGGATTTATCGAGTGTAAACAGAAATCCGCCGGGCAGGACAGAATCTATATAAATATTATTTATTATAACTATTATTAACAGGGGTATTTTAGTTAAAACACTCCTATACGCCGGTACATCTGGGGTACGTTGTTTTTGTTAAATTACAAATGGTCTTTGATTCGTATATAAATCAAAATTAACTTTCAAAATACAAACACTTTAAAAAACATCTTTAGATAAGTAAAATTATTCTACTTTTATGTTCGGGCTATACTTTAAAAAACATTCGCTTTTATCGTCGTCTTTCGCGGCTTATTTTCTTGTAGTCTTTATACGTATTTTTTTCTTAATTTTTTCCATATGATAAACAGAACATTGCACGGTCCTCTCGAAGATATAGAGTATATGTTCAAGTGGCAAAAATGCGCGAGTGACTCACGAGTGAGCGCATGATGCAAACGAATAATAAACGATAAAAATACCTACCATCGTTAAAGGGAGTGAAAGACTGAATCAGATCTGCCATGCCTTTTAATTTTTTTTCTCGTGAAATCGATCGAGAGAGAACTAGAGCCTATACCTTTAAATTGTAGTCGCATTGGTCGGAAACTACCTCAATATTGTCGGTGTTCTTTAATCGAATCAGCTGCAGATCAAATGCAACTGGACGTATGTGACATGTTGATAATACATGCATGGTAAGCATCTTAATTTCAAGAATTCCCAACTCTAATTGGCTGAATTATAGCTACTTTTTAGCTTGATTAATAAAATCAGTAAATGATTTGAGAAGAAATTGATTATGCAGAATATGAATATACGAATATGCCCACTCTCCCAATTGTAGCGCTTTGGTGCCACTCATGTTGCCACTGTAGAAAATTTTAAACACGGGAACAATACATTCAAGTTAGATGAGAGCGACACTGAAGGACAGGGCACTTGATTAATAAATTGTCTTTGTGACGTAAATGGAGCTTGTTGAGTACGTTGTCGTTGACACGCACGCAATTTTCAATATAATTGTCGGACATATGTTTCATTAACATCAAGATAAAGAGATAAATAAACACGAAATGTACCTGTATATATATATATATATATATAATATATATATATTATTATATATATATATTATAT